TTTGGTCTTTTTGAGGCAGGGTCTCCCTGTAGCCCCAGCTGTCCTGGAACTCACTATGTAGACCAGGCTGGCCTTGAACGCATAGAGATCCACCTGCCTCTGCTGGGATTAAAGGCGTGTGCCACCATGCCCAGCACCTCTCAATATTTTTAAAACATGAAGAAAAATAAAAAGTAGAGGCCCCTCTCCCTCCTGGTGTCAACCTTCCATCAGTCCAGCAGCTGTCACTCTGGCATGACACTTCCTTCAGCATTAATGTCCCCAGCTTCCAACCAACAGTCCTGTGTCCACTGGAGCCAACAGTCCTGTGTCCACTGGAGCCAACAGTCCTGTGTCCACTGGTGCCAACAGTCCTGTGTCCACTGGAGCCAACAGTCCTGTGTCCACTGGTGCCAACAGTCCTGTGTCCACTGGTACTCAGTACCAGAACAAGGCTGCATTTAAGATAAATTCTTTTTTCTTCTGGAGACAGGGTCTCACAAAGCCCAGACTGGTCTCTAACTTATGTGGCCGAGGATGACCCTGAACTATCTTCCTGCATCCACCTCCAGAGTACAGGGATAACATGCAGAGCCACCACACCTGGCACATTTATGATAAATTCTTGTTGGGTCTGGCGTGGGGAAAGGACACAGCTCAGGGGATAAAAGGGCTAACTACACCACACCAGCCTGAAGACTTAAGTCTGAGTCCTAGAACTCAGGTGAAAAGCTGGATATGACAGAATGGGTCTGTAACCCAACACTACCACTGTGAGATGGGAGGCAGAGACAGGACTCGCCGGGAAGCTAGCCCACAGCAGCCTGCTTCAACAGTGTGGAAGAACTGACTCCCCAAAGTTGTTCTCTGACCCTCTCATGCTCTGTAGCACACACCTACCCATACTCACACATGTGAACATACACAGTTCACACACACACACAGACACACACGCACACACGCACACACATACTACATATATTTTTAAAAAATATTTTATTATTTTTATGTGTATGAGTGTATTGCCTGCATGTATGTGAGTGCACCCGTGTCATGCAATGCCACTAGGTCAGAAGAGGGCTTTGGATTCCCCTGGAACTGGAGCTAAGGATGGTTCGTAGCCACCATGTGGGTGCTGGGATTCGACCCCAGGTCCTCTGCAAAGGCAGTCAGTGCTCTTAACCACTGAGCCATCTCTCCAGCCCCGACATACATTTTTTTTAGGATAAATTCTTAAGATTAAAATCTTTTGTTCCACCAGGCTTGGTGGTGCACACCTTTAATCCCAGCACTTGGGAGGCAGAGGCAGGCAGATCCCTAGGCCAGCCTGGTTTACATAGTGAGTTCCAGACTAGCTGGGGCTACCAGGAGACGCTGTCTCAAAAAGACACACACACACACACAGACACACACACACAACACACACACACACACACACACACACACACACAAAACTTTTGCTCCAACAGTATGTGCATTAAGTAGTATGAGCCTAGTGGTGACATACACCTGTCATCCCAACACTTGGGAGGCCGAGGCAGGAGGACTGTTGCAAGTTTAAGGCCAGCCTCAAATGGAGGCAAGTCAGGGCTACATAGTGAGGCCCTACCTCCAAGTAAATAAATTAAACAAAAACTGTGGTAGCTTTCGGCTGCTCCCTATACCCTACTCAGGCTAACACTCCACTACCCAATAGCCTGCTCCCCACACCTTCCCCACAAGGTTTCCTGTGACCTCCACCAAGCAGGGCCCAGTGCAGTCAGCCACCTGCAGCACAGAAATGTAGGCCTGGCCAAGAAGACGGGGTCATGCCTCCAACCACTAAGGGACCCACGGCCCCTTATTGCCCTGCATGGTGAGCTCAAGGCCAGCCTGGGCAATAATGTGAGACCCTGTCTCAAAAACAAACAAGAGGGTCAGGGAGATGGCTCAGAAGGTCACCGTGTTCTATGAGCTGAATTTGTCCCCAGGACCCAACTCAGTGCAAGGGACCCAACTCCTGAAAGTCCTCCTCTGCCCTCTGCATTACACCACATGGCAGGCATGTCCCCACACATCCACAACAACAGCAAAACCTCAGAACAATGGGCTGGGGGTGTAGCTCAGCTGGTAGAGTGCTTGGTACTGGGTTCCACCCCAGAACGCCATGAACCCAGCATGGTACACATGCCCATAATCCCAGCACTCAGGAGGTAGAGGCGGGAGGTTCAGGAGCTGAAGGTCATCCTTGGCTACATAGCAAGTTCCAGGCTACCTGAGACCCTGTCTCAAAACAATGAAACAAAACCAAACAGCACAAGATTCTGAAATTCTTAATGCCTGTGTTCCCTGAGATCACAACAATAT